ACTGAATTCAATTGCTACTCAGGGAAGGAGGGAAGGGGGATAGGGAGTGAAAGGGAGGGATGGAGGGGGAGGAAAGGGGAAGGAAGAAAAGATTTAACTGACAAAAATATTAAAGATAACATTATTGGAACATTAAATGGCAAGTGAAAATAGAAAAGTTGAGAGAGAAAATAATTATGGCTTCATGATTCACTGTCAAAATCTTCAGTCTAGATGTATCCTCAACATACTACTGTGAAACCAATAGATGCCCTTCTACCCCACGTGTCTATGCCATTGCTCAGTATCTCTTTTCCTCTTATTTCCCATCGTTTCTTCCCTTCTGCCACGTAAACATTTTAAAAATGCACATTTCACCTCTAAATATTCAAATAACTGAAAGCCATCAAAGTCCATTGTCCACCCTGTATGTAATAAGAGACAACCACCGGAGTTAGAAATGAAAGTTGAAAAAACAAATGCGGCTTTCCTGTGAAATTCAGAAGAAATAAAATTTAGGGAATGGGAAGGCAAAAGAGCAAAGTGCTATGTTTTGAGCATCAGATAAAAAAAAAATTTATGTTTTTTTAAATGTTTATCTAATAAAAAGTTGCATAAAATGTGATGTTTTGATTGTATACATATATTATGGGGAATGATTGAATCAAGCTGATCAACATGTGATGAGAACATGTAAAATCTACTGGTAGCACTTTTCAAGTATATAATACTCACCATGCCAGACATACAACAGATCTCCCAAATTTTATTCATACCAACTAATTGAACTTTGTCCTCTTTTAACAACATCTCCCCTTCCACAATTCCCAATCACTGGTAACCTCCCTTGTATTCTTTGATTCTGTGAGTTCAACTCTTTCAAATTCCACATGTAAGTCAGATCATGCAGTATTTATCTTTCTGTGTCTGGCTTCTGACACTTAGAACAATGTCCCTAGGCATATACACATTGTCATGAATGACAGGATTTCTGTTTTTAAAAGACTGAATAGCAAATATTCCACTGTGCATATACACTACACTTACTTTATATATTCATCCACTGACGGGCCTTTAGGTTGATTCCATGCCCAGGCTACTGTGAATGTTCAAAAAGCCTATCCCACAGTGTAACAAGCTTCACAACATGCACATGATGGAAAACCTATACCTCCCAGTTCCTTGGTATCAACCCCTGATGAAATTGGACCGAAGAGTCCCCAGGCTAACATCAAAGAATCCAAATGAATTGCTCTGAGCAGTACCAACAACTCCTGGTCCTGACCTTTCAAACCCGTGCTCTCCAAATGGAAAAGACACAAGGCAGCAAGGAGACCTAGCAACCCTTCTTTTTCCCTAGGATTCTGAGTTACTTCGGATCATTTATGAATGGTCTGAATAGAGATATGCTCTGTTATCATTCCAGGATTATCTCAGGGTCTCAAAAGGATAAGAACTAGTTTTCTTCCTCAGATTCTTCAAGATTCCAGGACCAGTCCAGGCACCTCCATTGTTGTAACATCAAGGGAGAGGGAAAGGCTTAGGAGAAAGACTAATGGCAAGGTAAGGAAAATATAGGGTTAACCAAGGTTCATTTTCAGATAAATGTCACAGATGGTGCTTGTCAAAGAACAGATAATAGGTATACAAAGAAAGCAGAATGCTAAAAAGGGACATTGAGTATAAGTCTTGTCTAGTGGCACTAATCTGACTTGTCCCTAAGAACTGAATGCAACCTTAAGTCCAATACTGCAAGAAGGAATGGGGGGTCCCATTCCAGCCTACTTGGAGCTAAGTGATGAACAAAGTATTAAAAATAAAATAGCTGACATATAACTACATAACTAAGACTCTAAAGTCTACATAACTACATGCTAAGACTCTAAAGGCTTTATACAAATTTTTATACATATATAAATTTAACTAATTATTAAATAAATAAGGTGGAAAAACTAATAAAACCTCCCATTTCACAGATGAGAAGAGAGGGAGAGAGAATTTAAATAAACTTGTCTACAGTCCTCAGCTATTAAGGGAGAGCCGAGTCAGGATAATTCTCAAGCCCATAATCTTTCATACTATGTTGTCTCTCTTGAAATTCAGCCTCCAATTCAGAGGTGGCCTATATTTTACATTCTCATCCCTCTGTAGTCATGTCTTTAATAGTTTTACTATTTCCAAGAGTCTCAGGAATGTTTTATTAAATCTATGCAGAACCTCCCTTTTCTCCTCCTCCTTGCCCCAATGATGCTTGAAGGTGAACCATGTCCAACTGCTGAGATGGGTCAGGGAGGGGCTCTGAGTGATCACACTGGGCTCTGCCACCCAATCTTGCTGCAGGCTCTGCTGGATTGGGGCTTCCCTGAGACCTCCACAACTTGGAGGCAGATAGACAGAGCCTCCTATGGTCACAACAGAATGTTTATGGTGGCAGGAGGCAAGAGATGGAAAAGAATGACTTACATAAACAAGGTGTCTTCCGCCTCCATATCAAAGGCCCTCTCCAATGTCACCTCTTCCCAGCCTTCTGCTTTGAGGAATATCAATGACGTTCTGTCACTGATTTTCTTTTGGTACCCAACTTAATTTCACTTTGGATTGTAGACAGAACTTATACTTAAAGCAACTTAGGGAGAAAAGTTCTTTTTTGCCAAAGCCTTCAAATATGTTCAAGTTATTTATGTCAACAACGGAAAACGCAGTAGCTCGTTACCTGTAAAACAGGCTCCACGTGTCATCTCTCTTTTTCAATGTAGTAAGGCAAAACTTAACTAAATTCTCCAAATTAAAGGCTTAAGGCAAAATTTCCATTTCTCATACATTTAAATATGTTATGGCCCATATACTTAACTATTTCTATTAAGACAAAACAATAGTGTTTATGCTTTTATGTTAATTTGGAATAACTATCCATTTTAAGGGAGAAAGTCTCCCCCCACCACCACCACCATGTTTCTTAGTAGTCTATGGTCTCTGAGAACAGGTATCCTTGTAGTTCCCAGAGCTTCTCCAAGTTCCACACCACCTGGGGAACACCATGGACCTTCAACAAATGTCCCTAATTATGTTAACACACAGAACAAGCTTTAAGCTCAAATGTTACTTCTGGCCCAAAGAAATCTGAACAGGCATAAATCCAAATGCAACCTTTGATCCAAAGAAATCTAAAAGCAATAAGGTCATTAAGTAACAATAACAACCTCAATTTAATCAATGGAAACAAACGTTTTCTGATATTGAATCTAGTAGTTATCATCTATTTTTATGAAGAAATGTAGTAAAAGTCATCCTCCTTCTCATTTAAAATACCTGAATTCATGCATGCCTATAATTTTTGTAGGTTAGGAAAGGTGTGCAGGAAGAGAGAAAGAGGTTACTCAGAAACCTGGAAGATGATACCAAATGTCTGTGTTTCTCTATGTGAATGCAGCTATTTGGCATGTAAACATACTGTCACAAATTCAAACAAATTTCATCCAATAATTCATCTCAGCAGCCAATTCAGAGACAACCCACCCAAAGAGGAAGGGGGAAGGGAAGTGGAAGAGAAAGGGAAAAAAGGACAAAAAAAAGGAGCAAGAAAGAAGGGAAACAATAGAAATAAAGAGAAAGGAAGAACAGAGGGAGGAGAAGGGAAATAAATCACATTCCACATAGTGAAACAAAACAAAAATGGTTTAAAGGAAACATTTTCTTGACTGAATTCACAGTAAAAAACCATTCCTACTAAAAGTCAAAAATCCTCATCTTGAGTGGGTAAATGGCAGAGGTTTGCTCCTGAAAGGGAATCAATACTTCATTTGACAATTTCCCCACCAAATGCCACTATCATTTCCAATGTCATTAGGCTGTCATGCTCCCACAGTAAAGTAGTAGTATAATACATATCTTTACCCTGGGGTTTAAAAACAATCTCAATTGTACAACAACACATCTTTGGGCAAAAAGTTGGCAGGACAAATCACAGGACATATGTTTACCCAAGCTGAACAGTAGCCACAGAACTGTACATTAACTACACTTGGCTTTGGACAGCACCAAACATGCTCTAAAGCTACCCGAAAATTTATCTACAGTCAGCAGGTTACCCTAAGTCTACCACTAAAATCTAAAAGCTTTCCTGTCAATTTTCATTTCTGACATAAGTTGATAAAAGCCTCACAAATCCTCTATCTCATAGAGACTCCATTACTTTCCTTGCTAATACACTAGAATGAAAAAAGACTTGTTAACACTGTGTAACTTCATAGCGTATTTATCACATCACAATTCTGCACCTTTTATTTTCAAGCCCATTTGAAAGTTATGTGTGTACTGTTTTAAAAAGGCTAGAATCAAATAGACATCTATAAAAACCACATACTCAACATTCACATCTTACCTACAACTTTAAAAATATTCATATTCATTATCAATCACTATTATGTATTTGATCAAATGCACATCTTATTTATAATGCTGAAGAATGCATGAATTTTAAAGTTGATTGTGTTTTCTCCTTTAAAGCAATCTATGAAAAACTTGCTGATTGTTAGCAATAATTAAGCCGATTACAAATAATTTCGGCATTCTACAATTATCAAAATTTAATTTAATCTATTTCCAGAGACAACCTGAGTGGCTCTGAGACTACAGGCTGAACACTGTCAGAACTGCTTGCATTATTATCTTATAAGAGCTTTTCTGTTTCCATAGTAAACATGCCTTCCTGACCTTTAAGTTCTGAAAGCATGCTTACAAATAAATCAAACAAAAGCTGTCCACTAACTTTTTGTATTACCAACTATTCCAAATCTACTTATTATTTCAGTATATGATTAAAATGTGGATCTTTAGGATTATCCATTTAAGAGTACTCTATAGCCTGAAGCATGAAGGCCAAGGCCCAATAGAAACATCACCAATAAAATCAAAAGCATAAAGCAAAATTCTTAAGTGATCCTTAGCATGTTTTGGAACAGAAAATAAGCAGTAAATATAAACATAAGCATAATCTAAAAACAAAACAGTCCCATACTTACTTTTAGCAGATCCTTGGAGAATTCAACACCTTCATTTATCCCTTGGAGGTTTGTAATAAACTCTTGGCATGTCATCTTCTTTCCAATATTCTGGAATAGAGGCAAATAATATATCATGACATTTATGGAATTAAGATTAATGCTTAAGTAATTAAAAAGCAATTGATTTGTTTTTCAAAAACAAATATATATACATACTAATACATGTATATATACATATAATACAGTTTTAATACGCAAGGAAAAATATGGCCTATTATGCTTCTAAAACTGTCATTAAGCATGTCAAAGAAGATTATGTCAAGCCCTCATTTTAACTCAGGGAAAAAAAAAACCTTCAAAAACCTATACTACACTCATAATAATGTAGGTTTTAATTTTAAAATGTAGGGAAAAAATGACATTTCTGAGCTAAATTCCGATAGTTACTTGTATTTCCAAATATTGTCAAAAACTGTAAAGGATCTGAGATCCTCACTTTCTAGCTAACAGGTTAGCCTGTCATGGATGCTGGCAGGGGAAATGACTCCTGGGTGAGACACAATATTTATATTTGTAATAGGAGTAGCCGGAATATTAGCATTTTCTTGATCTGGTTCCCTGAGCCCCAATTCTCGAGCAACTTGAATAGAGTCAAATGCTATCTGCACATGCAAAAGACCTCATTATAAAAGACAAACCCTAAGCTCCAGGAACTGAAATATTTGATAATGGACAATAAGTATGCTACCCCTTCACTCTAGATGGAGGCACCAGCTCTATCTTTCAAGAGGGTAAGCCAACCTGACCAATGCTCTGAAATCATTATATCCTTATAAGATACTCACTAAAGAAACAATCTTGAAAAAATAAAGAACCAGAGTAAGCAAATCATCTGTCCATAAGATGTTCAAAAAAGTGAGTGACCCAGAAGAAAAACCACAGGAGGATACAGCTACCAGTGGCCAACTCGAAGCCAAGGCGAGAAGCCCCAGGAGAAACCAAGCCAACCAACACCTTGATCATGGACTTCGGTCTCCACAACTGAGAAAGTACAATTCTGTTGTTTAAGTCATTCAGTCCATTAGCTCTGGCAGTACAAGCAAGCTAATATATATGGGAGAGAATGTGCAAGCTTTTTTGCTTGCTTGTTTTCATAAATAGGTCTCACAGAGATAATGACATTTGCATGAAGACCTGAGGAAGGGAAAAGAGCATAGAATATTTAGGGGAGGAGCATTCTGAAAGGAGGAAAAGCAATCCTCAGATTCCTGAGTTGGAGAAAGGTCTGTATGGTTTAAGACATAATTATTAGAAGATGAGTTTGACAACAACAAGTGCGGGCGAGGATGTGGGGAAAAGGGTACACTTGTACATTGCTGGTGGGACTGCAGATTGGTGCAGCCAATTTGGAAAGCAGTATGGAGATTTCTTGGAAAGCTGGGAATGGAGCCACCATTTGACCCAGCTATTCCCCTTCTTGGTCTATTCCCTAAAGACCTAAAAAGAGCATGCTACAGGGACACTGCTACATCGATGTTCATAGCAGCACAGTTCACAATAGCAAGACTGTGGAACCAACCTAGATGCCCTTCAATAGACGAATGGATAAAAAAAAATGTGGCATTTATACACAATGGAGTATTACTCTGCATTAAAAAATGACAAAATCATAGAATTTACAGGGAAATGGATGGCATTAGAGCAGATTATGCTAAGTGAAGCTAGCCAATCCCTAAAAAACAAATGCCAAATGTCTTCTTTGATATAAGGAAAGTAACTAAGAACAGAGTAGGGACGAAGAACAGGAGAAGAAGATTAACATTTAACAGGGATGAGAGGTGGGAGGGAAAGGGAGAGAGAAGGTAAATTGCACGGTAATGGAAGGAGACCCTCAGGGTTATACAGTGGAGGGGGTAGAGAGAGAGGAGGGGAGGGGAGGGGAGAGGTGGGGAGGGGGGAGGGGGGAGGATGGGAAAGGCAGCGGAGCACAACAGACACTAGTATGGCAATATGTAAATCAATGGATGTGTAACTGATGTGAATCTGCAATCTGTGTATGGGGTGAAGGTGGGAGTTCATAACCCACTAGAATCAAAGTGTGGAATATGATATGTCAAGAAATTTGTAATGTTTTGAACAACCCACAATAAAAAATTAAAAAAAAAAAAAAAAAAAAAAAGAAGGTGAGTTTGAAAAGGTGTGGAATAAGGAAATAGTGGTAGAGCCTGTAACAAAGATTCTCAAAGCAGGCAGGGCCGTATTGTGCCCTGTGGGGATGTTCTGAAAAATTGTGAGGACATTTTGACATTAGATTGGGGTGGTACTACTGGTCTTAAGTAAATTTACAGTCATCCTCAGGAGAGTTCTATCTAATGAGATATTTTCCCACATTCTATGTGACTTTATGCCCTACTACTGCTCATTTCAGATGATGAACATTTTCCAAAATTTGACTGTGGGTAATGGTTACACTCATCTGTGAATATACTAAAAAACCCATTCTGAATTGTATACTTCAAATGGATTAATTGTATGGCATGTGAATTTTATCATAATAAAGCCATTAAGAAAAAAACGGCCATATAAAGGATAAACTCTGCATATTCAAACAACTGAATACCATATAGCATAAAAATAATCAAAAAATTTTTAAAAGATTTGTTACATGAAATATGCACAAACTCAAATATAGCATGGAGTGAAAGAAACCAAATACTATAGAGTACTTATTGAATCAATAATTTCGTGTAAAACTCAGGAACATAACAAAACTCACTTGTGTATCTAAGGTAATGGCTGTATTTGGGGAGAACTCTGTGACTGGGCAGGGGCATAAAGCATGCTTTTAACCGTTTATATCTTGATCTGGATTCTGATTGTCAGGGTATGTTTGTGTAAATATATTTCAGTAAGCTTTCAAATTAACAATTTGTGTACTTTTTTCTATGCTGCACTTAAAAGTTCATTTAAAATTTTTAAAAAATCCAGCTGTTCTATAACTTTCTTATTAGTATGCATTAAAAAAGGACTAAAAGGAAAAAAAAAAAAAGTGAGTGACCCATAGAGAATTGTGCCCCAGCATACTTCCAACTTGACTTAAAGATAATAAAGTTTAATGAAAGAAAATCATATTCATGAACAAAATATAGTTAGAAAATCTAAACTACAAAGACAAGACAAACACATTGACAAGGAAAACTAATAAAACTGGTGTCACAGAGCTTTATCTCCTAAGCTAATTAAGCCAAATCAACCAGTAGAAGCTGCCAGTCATGAAGGACACATTAGTTCAACCTGGACAGCAAGAGAAATGTGTCACATGCAGGAGAGGGATGTACAAGAGGCATAGGCACAGCATCTCTAGCAAAATGTGGTCCACATTAACAAAATCTCTAACACATTCACATCCCTGTATAGCATATCCTCACAAAGAAGTTTACTTTCCAAGGCTATTTTATCCATTCATAAATGATGAAGAGTAGGGCAGAATTAAAAAAAAAAAAGGGGAGGGGGGTGCTGGGGATGTAACTCATTGGTAAAGTGTCCCTACATTCAAACCCCAACATACAAACATCCAACTTCAACAACCACCCAGGCAGCATATTCTTGGAGATAAAGACTTTAAAAGAGATGTGCTCAAGAGGGGTTGCCTTGAAAGGGAAACCTTCCCTTTCACAGCTGCCTTTCTCCCAACTCTTAAAACTCCTCAGCCCAACCAAGCTATCTAAACACTGTGTGAAAAGTGCTAAAACTTTTGTGTTGTTAAAAACGTGCCTCTTCCATCAGCAAGGAAGGTAAAGACTTCATTTGAAAAGATGGAATGAATGATTTGAGATGGAGATCTGATTTTGCCAAAGAACTAATTTGGTAGAGATTTTCCATAAATTAAATCTATAGTTCCAAAGTTTTGATGAGTATTTAAATCTCAGAAATGTTGTGCAATGATATATTGGGGAAAAAAAACAAACTCAATTTTTTCGATCCTTTTAAAATGTATTAGGTCAACCAAAATGCCTCAAGGTAAAAAGTAATAAGTATAATCAAGTCATTTTGATATGACTTGGAAAGACCTTTTTGGATATAGTCCAAGGATTTGAGAAGATGAATGAACAATAACTAGGCAGCAAATTCTTTTCCAATGCTTTGCTTCTAACAAAATTAAAAAAGAACCTCCCTTAATCATCCGTTAATCACCAAAAATATTTTAATATGATTTAAGAAATTCAAATACTAATAACATTATCTAGTTTTTAACCAAGTGTGCATTAATAACAATTATTAAATATAAATTATTCTAGAAAAATGTTTTTAACACTTGAAATTTTATTTAAAAAACCTTTGTTTCCATTTATTGCAAATGTGAATTGAATAATGATCATATAAGACTTCAAGCATAAAAGCAGAATACACAAGAGTGCACATTTAGATAAAAGCAGACTGAGAATACAAATATAAGGAGAAAAAGAATGCGCTAAAATATGATTCCTCAGATGGATTTCTGGGGGAAAAAAAATCCTTCCTGGAAAGGGTTCATCATGCCAGTTGCCATTAAGAACATTTGTGACTCACAGAAGCAGGTCAAAATCTCAACACTAATGGGAGTTGGAAGAGGTTGATCACAGCCCCCATGAAGGTGCCTGAAAAGTTGAGGACGTCAGTAGAGGAAAAAATGACAGAGGTGTTTGTACAACAAGAGAACTGGAGTTAGAAGTTAAGATGGGCCTGCATCACTCCAGTCTTAGGAAAAAACTTTAAAAGGAGTTTGTTCTTAGGCGAATATGTCCGCTTCATCTAGCTTATGGATGAGCAAAGAAAGTGGTTTCTTGAAATGAAATCTACTTCCCATGAAGATGTTATAAACACTGCTGAGATAAAAGATTTAGAATATTATATAAAGCCAGCTAATAAAGAAACAGCAGGGTTTGAGAGGACTAGCTCCAATTCTGAAAGGTCAGATGCTACAGAGAGGAAGAGTGAATCAGTGCAGCAAACTTCATTGTTCTTACCGGAACGGTCGCAGCCATCTCATCCTTCAGCAACCACCACCCTAACCAGCCAGCAGCCATCAACAGGAGGCAACCTTTCCACCAGCAAAAGGAGTTTGACCT